GGTTCTCTGCCCTGCCCTGGGTGGCCAGGTCCCTCTGAGTCTCTTTCCTCTCTCCTTTTGTTCCCCAGGAGGACATCAGTTTCAGGAAACTGGAAGACCAACACTGGCTCTGCAATGCTTGAGCAGATTGCCATGTCTGACAGGTAGCTGGCCTGAACTCAGCAGGGAGGGGAAGTGAAAGTGGGAGTGTGGCTGCCCAGGCAAGGCACTGACAGGCTTCCTTGCCCTGTGTCATGGCAGGTACAAGCTGTGGGTGGATACGTGCTCGGAGATTTTTGGGGGACTGGACATCTGTGCAGTGGAAGCGCTGCATGGCAAGGATGGAAGGGATCACATCATTGAGGTGGGAGCATCCAGGGATTGTTGGGGGCATAGAGGGAGGAAGAGGTGCACAGCAGCAATACTCTGTAAACTGTAAAGCACTCCATAGCCCAGAAGGTCCTCAGTGAATGATAAAATGTTTAGTGAACTGTAAAGTGCCTTGTGAACGGGGACACCCTGGCAAATGGCAAAATACTTAGTAAACTCTAAACTGTTTGTGAATTTAGACATCCTTAGTGAATAACAAAACACTTGTTAAACTATAAAGTGCTCCATGAACTGAGCCCTCTTGGTGAATGGCAAAGCACTTAATAACCTTTATTTTGTGAACTGACAGGTCCTTGGCAAATACCAAAGCACTTTGTAAACTATACTTTCTAAAAAGTACTGGTTGATATTAAAACATTCTGCAAACTGTAAAGTACCTTATATATTAGGACATCCTTGGTGAACAACAAACTGCTTTATAAAACTATAAAAAGGGAGCTCTTTAAAGTGGGAAGTCTTTGTTATTGAAGCAAAACACTTTCAAAATTTTAAAACTCTTTGTAAACAGCAGTGCCCCTGGTAAACAGTAAAACAATTTGTAAACTATAAAATGCCTTGAAAATTCGGAGTGCTTGGTAAACAGCAGTGCTTTATACATTGTAAAGTGTTTTGTAAACAGTGGTGCCCTTTGCAAAGCATTTTCTAAAATCTAAACACACCATATATTTTATAGTCCTTTGTAAACTGTAAAGTACCATGTAAAACAGAGTTCTTTGTAAAGGACAGAGCACCGAGCAAACTATAAAGCAGGGATCAGCAAACATTTTCTGTCAAGGGCCAGACAGTGCACATTTTAGGCTTTGCGGGCCATATGATATCATTAAAGCTACTTGACTTTGCAAAAGCAGCCACAGACATCTTTTTTAAAAAAGCATGGCTGTGTTCTGATAAAACTTTGTTTATGGACATTGAAATTTAAATTTCATATAATTTCACATGTCATGAAATCTTTTTTTTCAACGATTAAAAAATGTAAAACCCATCCTTAGCTTGGGGGCCATACAAAAACAAAAGCTGGGCCAGATTTGGCCCGTGGGCCCTAATTTGACAACCCCTGCTAGTACCTCATAAGCTGTTCAGTACCTTGTAGGAGGCAAGCTTTCCTCACACTGCATATCCATGCCTCAAACTGAGTGCTGTTCCATGGCAGCCACCATGCCTTCTGCCAACTTAAAGCACTCTTTCACTGTAAGCTTCATATGCACTAACTACTGCCTCTCTCTTCACTGGGTCTCTTTTCCTCCCCCAGGTGGTGGGCTCCTCCATGCCACTCATTGGTGACCACCAGGATGAAGACAAGCAGCTCATCGTAGAGCTTGTGGTCAACAAGATGGCCCAGGCCCTGCCCCGACAGCGGGATGCCTCCCCTGGCAGGGGCTCCCATATCCAGGTCAGCTAGTGGGGGGCAGGCCAGCCCTTGGTCATGCTGTGTCACAGAACTGATCATCAGCAGGCTAAGGGTGTCACCATTATTCGTGTGGCGGCAATTACCAATTGTTTTAAAAATTGATAAAATAGCTGCTACTCTGACTTCCCTGAGTGCTTCCCAACTCCTCCCCTGGGAGCAAGTCCCCACCCAACAACCTGACTTCCCTCAGCTCAGCCGCAAACACAGACAACACCCAGCACACAGGGAACCCGTGTTTTTCTGATTGGCGGATGCTCTACTGGCTGGTAACTATTTTTAACCTCTCCTGCTCCACTCCTCTACCACAGACTGTGTCCCCAGGGGCCCTGCCCTTGGGCCGCCAGACCTCCCAGCAGCCTGTGGGGCCCCCTGCTCAGCAACGACCCCCACCACAGGGTAAGTGAGGGACTGGCTTCTTGGGCCCCTACTGTCCTGCAGTCACTCCCCTCACCTCTCACTTGCTGGCTTCTCACATGTGTTACTCTTTCTCTGTCCCTCAGGTGGCCCTCCCCAGCCGGGCCCAGGCCCCCAACGCCAGGGACCTCTGTTGCAGCAGCGCCCACCCCCACAGGGCCAGCAGCACCTTTCAGGCCTTGGACCCCCAGCTGGCAGCCCCCTGCCCCAGCGCCTACCAAGTCCCACATCAGCACCCCAGCAGCCTGTGTCTCAAGCCCCACCACTGACCCAGGGTCAAGGCCGCCAATCCCGGCCAGTGGCAGGAGGACCTGGAGCACCTCCAGCAGCCCGCCCACCTGCCTCCCCATCTCCCCAGCGACAGGCAGGTCCACCACAGGCTACCCGTCAGACATCTGTCTCCGGTCAGGCTCCACCAAAGGCCTCAGGGGCTCCACCAGGTGGTCAGCAGCGCCAGGGCCCACCCCAGAAACCGCCAGGCCCTGCTGGTCCCATCCGCCAGGCCAGCCAGGCAGGTCCCATGCCCCGCACTGGGCCACCCACCACGCAGCAGCCACGGCCCAGCGGCCCAGGCCCTGCTGGACGTCCCACCAAGCCACAGCTGGCCCAGAAACCTAGCCAGGATGTGCCGCAACCTGCCACCGCTGCTGCCGGGGGACCCCCGCACCCCCAGCTCAAGTAAGGGGACCCCACAGTAGCCCTTGCCTTGCTGCTCTCAAAACATGCTCCTACACTGGGTGGGCAGCCTCAGCTCCCAAGTTCCTCAGACCCAGATCCTATCTGGAGGTCCTGAGAGCTCTATCTCCAGTCTGGGCCAGACTCCCCGCCTAAACTGCCACCCCTCCCAGTCCAGAGAGGCTCCTGCCCTCCATCCCAGAGAATCGGTGCCAGAATCCCAAGGAAACCCCACTTTTGATTCAGAGACTTCCCAATAGGCCCTGAGAAAATCCCCTTCCTCAGCCCCTCTTAGTCCACCCCAGGCACCTTACTGACCCTCTTTCAGTACCTTCCAGCCCTCCAAGTCCTCCTCCCATCTTGGAGCCTTTCCTGCCAAAGTTACCCTCCTCCTGCCCAACTTGACTCCTCCTAGCCAATGCCCCAAACACAGGCCAGTTCACAGTCCTCCTATATATCACTTCAAATCCTCCTCATACTTTTCCTACAGTCTAGACTTCTTTCTAGTTCATTCCCAAATCCTTCTGGTCCATTTCTGTCTCCTCCCAAATCATCACGCCATTCTCTCTGCCTCTTATGGTTCATTCCAGACCAGCCGCACCTTCTCTTAAAAGTCCTTACTGTCCCACCCAACTGCTTTCTCTTAGATTTGCCCCTCCCAGTCTGTCCTTGGTCCAGCCTCCCCCTACTCCCTCCTGGACTCCTCACCCTGAGATTAGAAACCTCCCTGACCATCTTCACCTTTATCCCAGTCTAGCCTAGATTTGAAGAGAAGATTCCGCCCAGGACTCCTCCCATTAATCCCAGACTTCTTCACCTCGGATCCAAGTCCTCCCTTCCTCTCCCAGGACTCCCTGACTCTGCCTGAGAATCCATCAGGGTTCAGGCCCATACTGATGGGTGGGAGGGTCACAGGCACCGCCCCAGGACCAGAGGGGCAGGGCTGGGGCCAGGCCTGGGGTAACATTGTGTTTCTCTCCCCCTCCTCCCTTCCTCTTCCCCCTCTTCCTCCCATGCCTCCACCTTGTCTCTCTCTAGCAAATCTCAGTCTCTGACCAATGCCTTCAACCTTCCAGAGCCAGCCCCGCCCAGGCCCAGCCTTAGCCAGGACGAGGTGAAAGCTGAGACCATCCGCAGCCTGAGGAAGTCTTTCGCCAGCCTCTTCTCCGACTGACACCCTATCCTGAGAATCCCCAAGTCCCTGGGCAACCCCTCTCTGGGCCCTGAATCCACTTCTCACTTTCGGAATCTCCAACTCCCTTGAGAAGCCCTCTCCTGGTTCACCAAGATCCCTCTTCTCACTCCTCAGAATGCCCAAGTCCCTCAGGAAACCTCACTCCTGGTCCTAAACCCAATTCTCATGTTTGGAATTGCCAAGTCCTCTGGAAGCCCACTCCTGGTCACCTGAAGACCTACTTTCTCAGTTTTAACACCTCCAAATTCCTGAAGACCTCTACTCCTGGTCCCCCAGAGTGCGTTTTCCTTCCTGGGAGCTCCCAAACACCAGGCAACTTGTTCTGGCCCTAACAACACTGAGTCCCCTCCTGGAGTCCTGAAATTCCTGGAAAACACTACTCCTGGTCCCAGATCTCTCAAGTACACTTTGTTCCCCATCAAAATTTCCCAACTCCTTCAGAAACCCCTACCTTTGAGTCCCCTTCCATGGATCTCCCATTTCTGAAGATCCATCTCTTCAAATTCTACCACCTGCCCCACAAGGATTTCCTATCATCTCCCTCCAACCCCATTCAACACATGGGAGCTCCTCCCACTGCTAGGACCCCTCAGTTCCCCAGGGACCCCTGCCCCACTTTCCTGCCTCTGACAGCTGTCTTTAAATATGCAAACTCCACCCACCCTCCCAGAATCCTCTGCACATGGAAGGCCAGTGGTCCCCTACTTCCCCACCTTTGCCGTGATGTCTGTGTCTGTGACTGACGTGACCTCCTCTTGTGCCGTGCTTGGCATATGTGGTCCTCGTTCATTGTGCCGCCTGTGGTGATGCGTACAGTGGCGCTGTTTGTGTGATCTGCACCTCCCCCTAAACTCTACTCCTTGCCTGGACTCACTCCCACCCCTCAGCGGCTCTGAACCCCATGAGAAGAGTCGGGAAGCAAAATAAACAAGCAAAGGCCCAGCAGAATTCTGTGCTTCTTGGTGAAGAAAGAGGGGAGTCCTTGAATGGTGGGGGAGACAGAGGGGTCCCCAAAATCCACATGGGGTGCTGGGGACCCCAAAATCCAGTGGAAGGCACATGAGGCACAAATTCCAAAGAGGTTCTAAATGGAATCCCTGCCGCAAATCCCAGCCATTGGAGCTCCCAAATTTAAAAGTATCCTCAAAGCCAAGAGGAAACCAAACTATGGAGGCAGGGGTCTCAGCCTTTTGGGGGTCCCCCAATTCCAGAGGAACTGGAAAAGCACATGGGGATCCTGAGGCAGTATCAGGGCAGATAGAACATTGATTGGTTGGTGGGCAGGGCTCCTTGGCGTGGCAGGCTGAGATAGGCTCCCTGGTGGCTGGGGGCAAGACCTAAGGCACAAGGCGGGCTGCGCTGAGTAGGCAGGCGGGCAACTCATCAGCCTGGGTACGGTGCAAAGAAGGTTCTGAGGCACTCCGCTCAATCTTGGGGAGTGACCGCTGCAGCAGCTCAATCGTGGCCAGGATCTGGGGGCAGGTGTGCATGAGGGGGTATGTGTCCAGAGCCACACAGGCACCCCAACACCACCAGACCCCAGCCTCCCTCCCAGGGAAGCATACATACATACATTGCACACCTCTGAGCCTTGAACAAACATGGTTCACATTCACCCGAGTCTTCCTCCTCATCGGTCTCCTCCCCAAGGTTTCCAGCCCTCCTACCCGGCCCACCTGGGGGAAGAGAGGCCGCTCCTCCCGCTGGAACTTCAGGCAGTCGGACAGCAGGCGTCGCATGGCTTTGGGGCAGTTACTAGAGATTTTGCTGAGGTCAGGAGACAGATAGCCACGGCCCACCATAAAGATAATCTAGGGGAGGACAGGAATGTCTGATGTGGGCTGGGCGGTCCAGGGAATTTTGGGTCTTGAGGGACTTGGGATGTTCCTTTTGGGGAACTGGGGTATTCTGGGTATTGGGGCTCTGAGGATTGTACTGTCTTGTGAATCCAAGGATTCTGGGTCTCTGAGGCCTTGGAAGGATTGTCTGCTTGCAGAATATAGGGATTTCAGCTTGCAGGAAGTAAGGATTATAGGTGTTTGGGGCCCAGAGGATTATGGATCCACAGATTTCTAGGGGGCTTATGGGCCTGGAAAGTACTAAGTCTAGGGGAAATGTGAACTTCTGAGTCTGGAAGGAACTAAAGGATTCTAGCCCTTAGGAGTTTGTGTTTCTGTGGGGATCTGGGGCCTGAGGACTATGGGTCCATGTAGCATGTAGGACTACTGGTATCTGGTGCCTAGATCATGGGTTTCTGAAGACCTGGGAAATTCTAGGCTTTGAACCCAGAAAACCATGAGAGTCTGGGGCCTAGAGTATTGTGGGTACCAGGGTCCTGAAGCCTGAATAATTGTGGTTATCTTTGAGTATTCCAGAAACACAAAGGGGATCTGTTTCTGGGAGAAATGGGATTCTGGGCTTTGGGGACTTGTAGGATTTTGAGTACTCAGGCCAGGGGACTAGCAGTTGTCTAGGGGTCCAGAGGGCTTCTAGGTATGTGGGGGCCTAGGTGGATTCTGAGTATAGGGGATTCAGAAGATTCTGGACTTTGAGGACCCAGAGGATTGTGGATGTGGGGGAAGGAGAAGATTCTGGGTATGGAAGACCCAGAAGATTCTGGGAGTGCTCAGCCCAGAACATTTTGGGTTTCTAGAGGAAGTGTGGCATTCTCGGTCTATACAAAGGAAATGGGGGTTTAGAGGCTGAGGGGGTATCCCTTAGCCTGGGAGATTGTGGGTAAGGTATGGGGCTCACCTGGTCACGGCTGCCAATGTGGCTGTAAGGCAGGGAGCCGGTCATGAGCTCATAGAGCACAACCCCATAGGCGTAGACATCCGACTGGAAGCTGTAGGGGTTCGGGTCCTGCATACGAATCACCTCAGCCGCCTTCAATAGGCCAAACCAGGCAGGGGAACCATGGAGGTCAGCAAGTGGCTGGCCCATAATCCTAGGTCCCACTAGCCACACTGGATACAACTCAGAGCCACTCACGTGAGGTGAAACGTGAGCAATCTAGACACCCACACTTGGTAGAGGCATCCCCATCGCCACTCATCCCCCTATATCCCAGCCTGCAGCCCAGGTCCCTATATGCTCTGGTCCAGCCCCCAGCCTAGCCTGACCCAACTCACCATCCATAGCACAGAGCCCGAGGGCTGTTCCAAAGGCTGAGCTCCACTCCACCGCGTCTTCACTGTGGCCAGGCCAAAGTCACCGATCTTCACCGTAAGTCCCTCATGTAAAAAGATGTCCACCGAGGTCAAGGGCCACTACAGGGACTCCCAATAGCCACACCTCTCACCCTGACTGGGATGCTCTCATTAATGCCTCAACATCAGTCATGCCTCTAAACCTGACCAGAAGTCCCCCAATGTCACAAAAACCCACCACAACCTTGACTTGGGTGGGGAGCTCCGATTAACGTCCCCTACACTTGGCCCCGCTGTGGCTCCTGACCAGGAAGTCTCACTAAGGGCAGCACCCATACCTGCCATGCCTGTGACTCTGATCAGAAACTCCCTGTAATGCCCTCCACGACTGCCACACCTCATGCTCTGATCACAGTCCCCAAGAACAGTACCTGAACAAGCCACAACTCTGACTCCTGACCAAGAGACTCCCATTTAAGGCTCCTCACCAGCCACAGCTCTGCTACCTGGCAAGGGCCATGCAACACGTGTACCTCTCTATTCATTCCCAGAAGTTCCTGCTCCACAAGAGCCATTCCTTTAAGTCCTCACCCCACCCCAGCCTTAGACAGGGACAGGTAGATACTGTTAGACTTGAGATCTCGGTGGATGATGTTCTTGGCATGGAGGTAGCTGTGGGGATGGAAGCAGGTGGCAAATTGGCTGGGGCTACCTCATCTCCCTCCCCCAACCTCCTCCCTAGTCTTTGGGCTGGGAGGCTCACTCCATGCCCTGGGCAGTCTGCCGGGCCACATCAATGAGCTGGACCATGTCAAAACGTGTGTCAGCCACATGGAGGTGGTGGTAGAGGCTGGAGCCCTCACACCACTGTGTGATGATGGCGAACCCCGGCCGGGTCATGAAGCCCATGAACAGCAAGATGTTGACATGACGTGTCTTCCTGCAGGCAGGGAGGGTGGTATCAGGGCAGGGTGGGGGAAACAGCAACTGTCACTCACTTTTTGAGAATGAGAGATGATGTTGTTCACTGCTGACTTCTGTTGTCATTTTCATCCTGTCTTTTAGGAAGCTCAGGGCCAGACTATGGCCAGATGCAATGAATTTATGAGATATATTTGCTGGGCTAATTCAGTGCTGGGCTTAAGTCCTGAGCTTCCTTATCCGAGTCTCCCAACAAAACCAGGAGGGACAGGTTACTGCCTCTACCCCTCTGTGGACCAGTAGCATCTTAATCATCAACAGCTGCCACATCTCTGACCCTGACCGTGATCTGGGCCTGTGACCATTTTCCAGACAAAAAAGTGGAATGCCAACCTTCTTTGAAAGTGAAATGCCAACCTTCTTCACTGATATATCATAATATTGATAAATTCCAGATAAAAATATCAGTAATGTGTGATTATATCCTGTTAATTACCACGAGAGGCTTAGAGGTAAAGAGCTTGGGGTTTGGATTCAAGTTAGCTTCTATGTTCCAATGCAGGCTTCCCCATGCACTCACTGTGCAACACTTAACCTCTCTGTACCTCATTTTCCTCCACTGTAAAACTGTGAAAATTATATAAGCTACCTTATGGAGATGTTGGGAGGAGTGAGTAAATAATCTGTAAGTAACTTAGAACAGCACCAAACACAAGTAAGCCCTTTGAAAATTTCACTGTCCTTGTTGTTATCACTCCTGGGTACCCGGCTCTACCTCACAGAAACTGTCACATATGAATAGATCTGCCCTAATTTAGAAGAAAGCCTTCATTCCTTATAGAAGTATTAACTCCAGTTATGGTAACACAAATGCAAATACAGTTGACCCTTAACAATATGGGTTTCAACTACACAGGTCCACTTATACATAGATATCTTTCAATAAATACCTGTACCATTTTGATCTGAGGTTGAGGTCCACAGATGCAGAGGTCCGATTATATGCACTGATCTATGCCATTTTATATAGGGAACTTGAGCACCTGTGGATTTTGATATCTTTCGGGGGTCCTGGAACCAATCCCCCATGGATATTGAGAGATGACTAACTTTTGGGGGAGTCAAAAGTTACACATGGATTTTTGACAGTGTAGGGAGGTCGGCACCCCTAAACCCTGCATTGTTCATCGTCAACTGTAACATTGACGATGCTCTGTAATTTTGGCACATCAAAGCAGATAACACAGCACATGAGTGTTCTTCATAGCAGTCAGATTATGGTTAAAATATTAATATAATGCAAATTAACAGCATGTTCAAATCATTGCTACTTCACAGAAATAGAATAAAAGTTTTCTTACTATGACATCCATTATGAGGATAAATATTAAAATACAACAAGGAATTATAATAACATTAATTCTGTAACATAACTGTGCCCATTTGTCAGAGGGGAAAGGCCATGTTAGCAACTCTAGGAGTGGTAGTAACTATAGCAGCAAAAAAGGAACATCCGTGTGAATGAATTAATATAGTATCAATGATATATTAAGTAGAGTAAATATAATCATTAATTAAACAATGATTAAATTATGGTTCTGATTATAATTAATACAGATGACCCTTGAACAAGTGTCGACCCCCCACACAGTTGAAAATCCACATATAACTTTTGACTTCCCCAGAACTTAACTACTAACAGCCTATTGTTGACCAGAAGCCTTACTGATAACATAAACAGTTGATTAACACATATTTCGTATGTTATATGTATTATATACTGTATTCTTACAATAAAGTAAGCTAGAGCAAAGAAAATGTTATTAAGAATATCATAAGGAAGAGAAAATACATTTACAGAAAAATCCAACTGGATTTTGGGTGGTAATCACAAAATAGAATATATAGATATCAAATTATAATGTACATCTGAAAACTATATAATTAACTAATGTTATCCCAATAAACTTAATAAAAAATAAAACATTAAAAAAAAGAAAAAAATCCATGTACACCTGAAGCTAATAATAAAAAGAAAGAAAAGAATCCATGTTTAAGTGGATGTGTAAAGTTCAAACCCATGTTGTTCAAGGGTCAACTGTAATACTGTTCTTTAAATTATGGCATTATTATAATTAATTAATGACAAAAATGTAACACAGTAAACATAATACTAGTGATGCAGTACAAGCAGAGGGGAAGGAAGGATGCAATCCTTTAGGGCGATGCAGTTAACTAGCATTCTGCTACTAATGTAAGTGCACGCAATGATGTTAATAATGTCCTACGGCCATACCCATTTCACAGCAGGCAAAGATGACCCACGTTTTGGAGGCAGAGCCGTTAATTAATATCAATATTAACCCAAACACAATAACATCATCAGAGGTTCTCTAAACATACCTATTTCCCAGAGGGGAAAGGGACACCCTTGACAGAAAAACAACTTATGCCTATGGTGATGACACAACACAAACACAGGTGATATGCAGAACTGCCCCAAGCACAGCCTCTCCCCAGAGGCACCAAGGCCATGCTCACCACCCTAATTCCCCATCCACACCCATGCAAGCTCACCTGAGCACCTGCATCTCATTCTTGAAGGCCTGGGCCTGCTCAGCTGTGGGTTGGGCCACCTTGAGCACCTTCACAGCCACATCTCCATGCCACCGCCCGCGAAACACAGTGCCAAATGAGCCCGTCCCGATCCTCTTCAGCAGCTGCACCTCACTGGGTGGCACCTCCCAGTAATAGCCCGAATCCCGGTACCCTAGATTCTTCTGTGGGCCACATGGGTGGCATCTCAGGGGGCTGCCCACATCCCTTATCACTCAGCCTATGGTGCCCCCCACAGGTTTCCCCTGGAGCTTACCACTTTCTTCTTGTCATCGGCCAAAGGCTTCCGCTCCCGCTGTTCTGATGGGGACTTGGAATGTGGGGACTTCCTCCCCGAGGACACGGTGGCTGGGCTGGGGCTCCCCCGGGGGGCTCCATCTCCACCACCTCTATTACCAGCAGCTGTGATTGTGGAGAAGTGAGTGGAGACAAGTGGAGTGGAGGGGTGTGCTGAGGGTGCAGGCAGTGGGGGCTCACCATCAGTGCTGAAACTCTGGGTAGTGAGCTAAAAGAAGAGGGAAAGGAGTCAGAGAGAGGGCATGGAGGCCAAGAGGAATGGCTCTCACCTCTGCCCAGTGATCCCCCATGAATGTCCCCCTTGACACCAACCTGGATGAGGCTGGAGTCCATGGGGGCCGTGGTGCTGACCATATGGACATTGGGGGTGGATGTGGAGCGGATGCGCTGGAGGGGGGCGTTGGCTGGGGCAGGGAAGGGGAAGTGCTCGGGGTCGCGGTGCTGGGTGCAGGAGCTGCCAGGGGAAAGGCTGTGAAATCACTGTTAAATGAATGTGAGAACCAGTCAAGCCACCCCCCACCCCATTGTAAACTTGTGCTTAGCTCACACAGAGTAAACGTGTACTGTTATTACTATTACTCATTTGTTCAAGTAACATTTATTGAGTGCCTGCCAGGTGCCAGATACCATGCTAGGTAGTGGAAATAAAACTGTGGGCAAAACAAATAAAAGTTTTTGCCCTCATGGGGCTGATGTTCCAGCAGGGAGAGAGAGAAATAAAACAAAAACAAAAACAAAAACAAAGAATATTTAATCCATCTGATGGTGATAGGTTCAATAAAGAAAAAAAATAAAGCAAAATAAGGAGACAGAAAGTGTCACTGGTGATGTCAGGAAAGGCTTCTCTAAGGAGCTGACATCTGAGCAAAGACCTAAAGGAGAGACAGGGAGCCACATAAGTGGGGGAA